AGAGAGAGAGAGAGAGAGAGAGAGAGAGAGAGAGAGTTGAGGTTGAGGATGGACATGGATTTGCATCTTTCTTTTTCGATCCTTTTTCATCTGTGTACATAAATTTTGGTGTCGATTACGGGCGACTTGCCCCGTATTCTTTTTGCGGCCATTTTCGTTTTTGCTCGATTGGGTTTTTCTTCGAATGTTTTCCTTTCTGCTTTCCTTCTTGAAATTTTCCTGTCGCGAATGATGCATGGATGAATTGCGCACACCTTGCATCTCGTTTTGATTGTCATCTCGTACTCATAGGACTGAGTGGGAATGGATATTGCATGTTGGCATGATTAGTTGACGCATCGAGTTGTCGCATTTCCACTGATAGTTGGCGCGCGCAATCCGACGGCTCGTATGTGCCCGTGTAAGGGTGGCCCAAACGGGACACGGCTTACACGTATACATACCGCCCGGACTCGCCGGTCGAACTCTGACTGGTACGCATAGTAACCCCGAGACGAGGGTTGATGTCAACGGGGGCGGAGATACCCGTTGCGTCTCTCGTACGCGCTTACGAGCGGTGGCTTTCCCTTGCCCGAAATTATCCCCGAACCGAGCCGCGCGATGATAGGATGACAGGCTCCCAGAGCTCTGATTCATCGTATGACCCAGACTACTTCACCCCGTGGGTCGAAGATCTTATTAGGCGAAGGCCCCGGGAATTCCCCTGTCTAACGCAAAACCGATTGTGTCCCAGGGAATTCGATTGCGCGGTCCACAGCGACCCCCGGTGCCCCGATATCCCCACAACGTACAACTCGCACTGTTTCATATGCCCCGGTTTTGTTGTCATCACCACTAACTTCCCTCCCTTCCGCCTTCTACTCCCGTACCATCAACTCACGGTGGTTCCCTGGAATTCCATCGCCGATTACTGGCCCCGCACACCGTGTGAAAACTGCAGGCGGCGCAATCATTTTTGAAGCCCCCAGGACGGGTCGGCAAGATACAACCCGCACCGACAGCCGCCACGTGGAACACTCAGAGGGCCCGGACCACAAGGGCCGTCTCGCCGACCTCCCCCGACCCGACCACAACACCAGGGACGAAAGGCCGCGCAGGATCAACGCGCGAACCCCCGCCCGTAAATTCCCCATTGTTGTATTGCATCTACGTCCCTGAGCTTTGCCACAGGAGATTCCAGTTCTGACCTGGGACTCCAACCCCCATTTCCCAAAAATCCTTGGCACACCCCTTTTCGCACTTCCAGGCCCACATCCCACTCCGATCAGGAAGTCGCGCTGGGCGTGAGGTTGGTATCGGAGCCCGACACGTGGCTAAGCAATAGGGTCTGTAGACTCAATACTAGCTAAAGCGAGGCGATCTGGCTCTACGTAGGCGCCCCTCAACTAGGAATACACGCCGACGTAGTCCTATAGCTACCCGTAGCCGAACATCCGTCACAAGGCGAGCGGGCACCATGGCGGCGGCCGCTGCTGCGGCTAACCCCAATCAACAAAACATTCCTATTCCACCTGCACCCCCAGCACGAGCGCCGGTGGCTCTGCCGGATCTTTACTTGTTCGACCCCGCCCATCACCTCGCTGGAGCATGGTTAGCCACGCTTCGAGCTCAGCGGTATACTAACGATGAGGCTCAGATCAACGTCCCCGCTCAAATGGGGGGAGACGCCCATCATTGGTACAGCACTTATGTATGGGTTGACCTTCCCACATTCGAGCGAGACTTCATGAAGCACTTCGATTATGTTCACCCCGAGCAAGCACTTTATATGACCAAGGATCGAGTCCTGAAACCACTCGAATCCATCATCGAATATCGGAACAGATTCTATCGAATGTTTGTGAAGACTGAGCGAGGTGAGCAGGTAGGCCGAGACTTGTTCATCGACGGACTGTGTAACAGGACGATACGGGGGAAGCTACGCAAAAACTTCTCTCCTATCAACCATACGCTGCAACAGATTATGGCGGCTGCCGAGGAAATGGAGCGGAAGTTTGCAGCTAGCTTCTTGGAAAATGAGGATTATGGTAGAGAAGGAGATTCGTCCAAACTTGTGAGGGCAAGGGCGGAACTGGCTGCGTTTCAAAACAAATTTGAGAATATGGGGTTCGTAGCTGGGCCCGTTACGTACGTAGACCGCGTACTACCAAGGATAACATCCCCAGGAGCGATTGCAAACATGCCAAGCCCGGTAATGGCGGCCCCGGCCACAACCACACCGGCACCACCACCGCCATCGATCGAACCTCCTGCGCGAGCGAGTGAGTCTGTTGCTATCTTGGTACTAACTAAAACTTTAGTCAACTTGATTCAAGAAAGCAAAAAGGAACAACGAGAACACAATGCACGGCTAGAGCCTAGAAGCGATGATGAGGAACATGCGGCCCATTGTCGTACGCGCTCCTCAGATTCAGCAAGGATTGGCCCCTGCGACTAATCTTGGGGGAGTCGCGGCCAATTTCAATACCTGTTACGTGTGTCATCAACCGGGTCATTTGGCCCGCGATTGCCCCCATCGACCTCCGCAGCAGAGGGTCGGAGTCACACCTGCTGCGGCAACACCCATCGCTAACGGACCTGGATGGGTGGGTTCGCTAATGGAAGAGATGGAAGGAGGAGGAAGTGCGTTAGCATCAACGGAGGAAGCAGCGGAACTTATCCCGCTAGATCAATATGTGTCGTTAGGATATCCTGGACTGGGCATGATTGGGACGATCCGCCTCGCATTAGAACAAAGAGAAGGGGCAGAGTGGAGACCGTCTCAAGGAGAAATGGAGGCGGGAGGACCCACCTTCGTCACGGGCGAGATCGATGTCTTAAATGTCGTACGAGCTTTGGACCATCGGATTCCCCTTCCGATTGGTCATTTGCTTTCGATTTCAGAACAGGCGAACGAACGGATGTTGCAACACTGCAAGGCGAATCGGAAGCGATTCGCTCTTGCGCGAACAACCAATACGAAAGATAAGAGCCCCGCACCTAACGAACACGCATCGGGATCCTCAGAACCAGTCCGGTTAGGACTGATACAGAGAGATGACCACTTTTTACGGATCAAGCCGATCCCATGGAAATCCGCGGAATGTGACATTGAAATTTGGGGAGTCCCATATAACGCGATCATTGATTCATGTGCTGCTCTCCTAGCTATCTCTCTGCGAGTAGTTGAACGAGCTGGCCAGAAAGGCGATCTGGTAATGTTGACAGAAAAGGACCAGCTCGTCTCCGCGGATGAGGAAAAGATCAAGACAGTCGGACGAATGACTAATGTTGCATTCCGATTGGGAAAAGTGCATGCCTTGGGAGACGTCGTGGTATTGGATGTTAACACGTATGACGTGCTTTTCGGTCTTCCCGCCCTTGTCGCCCTTCGAGCCAACTTGGATTTCGAAAGGCGATCGATCGTCCTCCGAAACACTGGGGGAAAGTCGTACGTTGTACCAATGAGACTGACCCTGCGCACCACTGTCAACTCGATCCGACGACTTTCGCCCCAGATAGCCGGCACCTTGCGCATGGTTTCTTGGGACGGGCAGCCGTCAGAGGAAGTGGACGACAACGATGATGACGAGGCGGATGTACTGAAGTTAGCACGACAACGTATTTTTTATCCGCCACCCTGGACGATTGCGCGAACAATGCATCTAACGGAACGAGGAAAACAAAGAACCAGGGCAATGATTCTGGGCGAACCCCTCGTTCAGATCTCTCGGATGATCAATTCTTTGGAACCCCCTCGAACCTTATACGAGGGTACTACTCCGCTCCTCACGCTCTAAAACGATAAACGGCCATTTTGCGACATCACGAACCTACCCCAATCCCTGTTGCAACCAGCGAAGGAGGTACGATTACTACGCCTAGGAGCCGAGGCTGATTCTTTGGAACCCCCTGGGCATCTCGAAGTAGATACCACCGGTCTCGGCATAAAGATCGCAACCAAACCCGTTCTATGGCAGGATGTATGCGACGGTATTACCCCGGAAGGACACATGGCCATCCGAGAGGAAGATGCGCAGATGATGGCTACCGTATTTTCATGGCGATCGGATTATTCATTTATTTCCGCGCCACCTCGCGAAAACGCAAAGCCCGTGCAAACCAAGCGTATCGACGTAAAGATCTGGGACCAACTATATGAACTGCACGTTCCCCAGTATGTGCCGGATGAGATTCACCGAACAATCGCAGATGTCCTAACGGAATATCAAGGGGCGATTAGTGTGACAGACACGGACATCGGCTTGTCGACAGTCGTTCAGCATGAGATACAGACTGGCAATCACCCGCCTATCCACTGCAAACCGTATCGATATTCTCTGGTGGAACGAAAAACGGCCCTTGAGCGAATTCGAGAGTTCGAAGCCAATGGATGGATTGAGCCAGCTACGGGTCCATGGTCTTTCCGGTAGTGTTGGTACCTAAAAAGAACACGTCGATTCGCATATGCATTGATTATCGCAAACTGAATGACATCACGATCAAAGATGTGTACCCCCTCCCTCGGATTGATGATTTGTTGGATGCGATTGGGTGTGCTAATTATTTTAGCAAGTTTGATATTCGCCATGGGTTCCATCACATCCTAGTTAAGGAGGAGGATCGGCCGAAAACGACGTTCGTTCTATTCGAGGGCAAGTGGCAATGGGTGCGATGTCCGATGGGGATTTGCAATGCTCCTGCTACGTTTCAGCGAGCGATGAATGTCACGTTTCAGAACTTCGTTAACAAGACACGGCTGACGCAGGGGATGATCAACTTCTGTGTGATCGTGTACATGGACGACATTTTGGTGTACTCCGAGAGCTATCATGGGCATGCGCAACACATTGAATGGACGCTGAGCGCTTTGCGAGACGCTGGGTTCAAGGTCACGCTCGAAAAGAGTGAATTTTTCCTCTCGGAAATTTCGTTCTTGGGATATGTGGTGACACGTGGAGGGCTACGACCGGATTCTCGAAAGGTCGCGGCAGTCAAGGAAGCTCCTGTACCCACGTCGCTGACGCAGGTTCGAGCCTTCCTAGGGTTGGCCTCGTATTATCAACGATTTATCAAGGGATTTGCTGCGATCGCTAGGCCTCTGACAAATTTGTTGCGAAAGGACCAACCCCTTAACTGGGACGGGGACTGCGAACGGGCCTTCACCACGCTCAAGGACGCGGTGGCGACTGCGCCCATTTTGATCCGGCCGAACCCTACGAAGCAGTTCATTCTTGTTACGGATTGGCAGCCGGAGGCGATTTCCGCTATTCTAGCGCAGAAGGGGAACGACGGCCGCGAACACGTCATCGAATACGCGTCGCGTACCGTGCCGGAGGAGAGAAAGAACGATTCGGCCCCGCAAGGCGAGTGTTACGCAGTTGTCTGGGGCATCCAACACTTCCACCCGTACCTATACGGACAAAAGTTTCTGTTGGTGACGGATCACGAGCCGTTATTGGCTCTGAAGCGGCTTACCAACTACACGGGTATGATCGGGCGCTGGGCCGTACGTCTACAAGAGTACGACTTCGACATCGTTCATCGAAAGACAGAAAAGCACGGGAACGCGGACGGACTGACACGTTTGCGTCGCCCGGCGAAGGTGCCCAGGAATGAAGAAATTACCCCGTGGAAGGACCCTGACACGGTGAACGAGCCTAAATACGGACAAGTGGTGGTGCTTCCACGTGGCATGGCAATGGGTGACGGAGGTAACTTGTCTACTCCCCGCTCTCCTTTGTCTCCTTCGTCTCTCTCTTCTCTCCCCGACAAATTTTGTTATTTTTGTGAGTCAATTTCGCGCGTCTCTTCCGTTTCTATGCACCCCAATGGTGGCGGATACGCTGATTGGGTAGACTGCCGGCAGTGTGTCTCACGGGCCCATGGCTTATGTATCCAGTATCGGGATTGCGATAGACCCTGGTTGTGCCCCTTGTGTCGAACCGATAAAATTTCGACCGAGGCCTGGTTTCTTGAAGCCACGTCAGAAGGGTTGGAAAAGACCCGACAGTTTAGAAGGGCTGAGGTTTGGACGGATATTGCCTTGATAGCCACCCTTGTAGGCAACTCCCTCCAGGACTTCACTAAGGAGGACCGGAGGAGGGCCAACGAGAGGGCTAGGGACTACCGCTGGAATAACGGACGGTTGGAGAAGCGTAAAACAGACGGCAGTGGGATTTGGATGGTAGTTCCGCATCCGTTCATGCGGTATGACTGGGTTAAGACTGCGCACGAAGACATGGCGGCTCATTTTGCTGTACGGATTACAGAAGCCGCCGTCGATCGGAATCAATGGTACTGGTCTAATATCCGGGATGATGTCAAATTCATCGTACAGAACTGCCAGGTCTGCGCGGCTCACAAGGCGCCGATTCAGCCGCCACGATCGATAGTCCCGACGGTGGTCGAAAGGCCGTTTCAAAGGGTCAGCATGGACACTACTGATATAGTGGTGCCCCCTGGACCGAATAGCTGCGAGTATTCAATCCTGCTCGTGTTCGTCGATCACTTCTCAAAGTGGATCGAAGCGTATCCCTGTCGCACGCGACAGGCCACGGAAATCGCGCGTTACGTCAACCGATTTTTAGGGATGCACCAGGACACCGAGGAAATTTTGACGGATAATGGGGCAGAATTCAGAGGGGAAGTCGAAAGGAACCTGGTCGTACATGGCGTCGCTATTCGACACACGGCCCCGCACATGTCTCAGTCCAACGGCCTGGTGGAAAACGCTAATCGAGTGATAAAAACGGCGTTGCGACAGAATATCGCGGCACGTGACTCCAGGCCCTGGCCTGATATTGTCGACCACATCTTGGCGGTCCATCGCGGAACGCCCCACGAATCGACGGGCCTAAGCCCCTTTCAGTTGCGGACCAATAGCGCCGGATGTATTACGATCCCGAGCCTCCCAGACGATTCGTCGCTTGGTCGACGGTCCACAAGGGCCGCGGCCCGCGATAAGGCGAAGCGACATTTGGAACTGATGGAACGGTCCCTCCAGAGGTTAGCCCGAAAACGACATAGAATGACCGAAATGGCCCACGGGCGACAGGTCCGTAGCTACGAGGCCCGAAATGGGAATGCTGGTCCACGAACGCGGTATAAATTGGGGGACGTGGTGCAGGTAAGGAAATGTGCTCGTCAGGGTAAGCTAGCGCCACGATTCTTCGGGCGATATCGCGTGATCGAGCTTGGCCCCAACGGTGTGGACATCGTGCGTCTTTCCCCCCGAAGTCTCTAGCAGTCGATCGGCTCGTCCGATCACCCGCCACGTATCCTATCTTCGTCTTCTCCCCTCTAATCCATCTCCTTCTCCCTTGACCTCCTTCTCGAAGCAAGGCGACGACGACGATCTCATCCCGTCGCCATCTCCCTCCCCTTCCTGTTCTCTATCTGCTACTCCGTCACCTTCGCCATCGCCATGAGTTTTTTGGAGGAGCGGGCCCTCAGCGAAGCATTGCTCGCGCCCCGCGATCGATTGGCAATCTGGCAGGTTCACCATCCCCGACTCAGTCCCGACCTCCGGCGGCTTACGCACTTCTTCTGCATGGAGGGCGTGTATGTAGCAGCGGTGTTCAGGATCGAAGGCAGGCCCGACGCTGTGGTATTGGCCGAGGTTGTGGCGGTTCATCAGCGGGCAGCGCTAGGTGTCAGTCGCATATCCGTCGTCATCGAATTCAGTGGTGATCTCTCTTCACTCCCTCCCCTGCGGCACTCCACGGTGAAGGCGTCGCTACACGTGTGGGCGGGCGATCTGATCACCGAGTGGATTCAGCTTTTGGCTCGCCACGGGGACACGGTTGCGCCGTCACGCGGAATCGGATACGACGGACTTCGCATGTATCGGCGCGATTCCCCCTGTGGAGCTTCCTGTACTCGTTCCCTTCCCGCCTCCCCAATGAGTCTCTCCCCGATCTCCGCTTTTGATCTCCCCTCTACCTTTCCCACCTTCTGGCAGTCCGACCTCCATCCTCGTCTATCCTACTGTCTCAGGCCTCTTACCATCCCTCCGCTCCATCCGCCTCATTGGTCCCTGTGGCGTCGAGACTGTGACCACGACATTCGACCTCGATGACGATCTGCAGCAACATTTCGTCAAAGGCTACAAGTCCGATCCGACTTACTCTACGCTTTACGTAGAGCTTTCATCGGATCAACCGCCGGCTAGCCATTATCGGATTTCTGACGGGTTCCTTCTCCTTCACACGAGAGGAAAGGACTTGTTAGTTGTGCCCCAAGATCGTATCTTACGGACTCGTCTTCTCGGCGAATTCCACGATGCACGACTTTCGGCACACCTTGGCGTGAACCGCACACTTGCACGCCTCCGCCAGCGTTTTCACTG